CTGCATTTATATTACTATCGATAGCCACCTTCTTGTTGGCCGTTGTATGATAGTTTTGTGATATTCGACCTGAGGCGGTCGGATTGTTTTTGATCTTGTGTTATTGGACGTATCAAATAAAGATTTTGATTCCCCCAATTATCATTTCAGATTGGATGTGTTCTTGTCGACTACGGTCGATTTCTTTCGATGTAATTATTTGTGGATGTTGTAACTTTCGTTTGACTGTGTGTAAAAGGGACTAGGATTAATGTTGGGTTTCACGCTTGGTTGAGACCGTCCTGGTCGACCAGCGTCCGCTTCGTACTTAGGAGATCAGCGCCCTAAGGGATAGGCGACGCTCGGGTCCACTTGGCGTTAACCAAGCGTATGTATACTACAGCGAACGAGCAAACGCCCTCGACTGACCTACCTCTGCAATTGCATCTAAAAGCTTTCACACGTGGGTCAGTAAGTCGGTAGGGATACGCCCCTAAGGGTGGTGACAGCCCCTTAGGGAAGGGAAGCTTATGCCCCGCGGGAACCTATCCTGTCATAGGAAACCGCGGGATGTACAGTTGGCGCACCCGGCCAGAGCGGCAACGGGACGACGCGACCCCGACCGTCTCGGCGGCTCACGGGATGTGTTGCGTCATTCCTAAGTTGTCTCTTGATTTCTGTTTTGTTTTAACTCCTGCGTGACATGGTCGGGAGGGCTCTCGCCTTTGCGAAAAAGGCGGGAGCCGATGCGCTCGACACCGCCCACCGGGCGCTTGAAAAGCATCTATTTTATGTACATAGCAATGATAACACTACTCGCGTCTCTCTGGCTTGTCCCTCCATTCTTGCCAAAAGTATCTATTTTGTATAGGCAATCTATCATTCTTGTCTCTCCACCCTTGCCTCTCTCCTTTTGCCAAGAGACTAACAGGCCTTCTGGGTGTTCTACCCTATATTTACACCTGTTTTCCCTCCATATTCATCCATTTCCTGCCTGTCTTCATATTTCGAAGGTCAACTATGTTTTCCTTGCTTTTGCTGTTTTTCATTTTTTTAAGGATTTTGTCCCCTCTTAGCTCCCAGTTCTCCTACTTCCTCCTTTTTTACACGGATGTCTACCCCCCATGCCTACCCAACTATTATGGTACACACATATCCCACCGGAACCTACTCGTCCTCCTATGCTTCCTCCGTAACTATAGTACACCACTGCATTCATTTTTTTTTTCGTTTCGATGGTGCTGACCACATGGGCTTCGCAGCTTTTTTTGTTTTTTGAAACCACCCCGGCAATGCGTTCCCACCCGCCCCCCGACGGTGCTGACCGCATGGGCATCGCAGCTTTTTTTGTTTTTTGAAACCACCCCAGCAATGCGTTC